GCTTTGGATGAGTGAGCTCATCGATGAGTGCTGATTGTTTATGGTTGTGGGTACTGGAAGGGCTGTGAAGTTTTACTGCGCGACATGACCACTGCCGTTTTGTTGACGAAACCCGCAGTTGATGGGGCAATTGCCTATATAGACGGAACATCGATTGATTACGAGTGAAAAGCCCGAATTGAAGGCCGGTGAATCAGCAGTAGAAGTGCTCATACGGATGATGCAGCCACCTCCACCACCGCATCGTACCAGTTCAGGATCGGTTCAGAACAATGTTATGCGTCGTATGGTGCTTCCAGCACAAGGTCTGCATTCCTGTCAGCAACCGCTTTTTGGGTCATAATCAAAATGTTGCTTAACCTAAGTGGTCTGTCTGCGAAGTTGTTGTTCAGTGATAACGAACTTCGTGTCGGTCTTATCACTGCTAGTATTCATTAACCGCGTCAGGCCGTATCAGAATTTATAGTCACAGGAAAATTCATATTGTCATCGAGAGATACCGGGACCTTTCGCGATTGTGTCGCTTCTGGAATCGAAATGTTTTGTAGAATATCTATAACAAAGACAAATACAGGCAACTACTAAAACTGGGCTGCACAATGTGCACTCGTTTTTGAGTTCGCGGAATTATGATACCGGTTGTCGAGGTAAGCTTCTAGGTATCGTGTTCAAGACTGCCAATTTTCCTTCAGCATTAAGTTTCAGGCTGAGCATGAAAATCCATAGTGTCATCCTTCCCATAAACCTCACCCCCTGCTTTCAGTTCTTACCTCCAAGTGAGGTCTCATTCTTTTTGCGCTCAATAATCCTCCTCTTCGTCACGCCCCCTCCCTCTTCTCTCCGCCGCCTAGTCGTTGCAACTCGTTTCCAACCCAGCCAAGCTGGGCCGGATTTTGGCAGTTCCTAAAACACGGCTGTTTGTGGGGAAGTAGAAACCACAATAAAAGCATCTGTTCTGCGTGCTTTTGAAGCGCGCGCTTCTGTGAAACATATGTGGTACTTCATATGTTCTTTTGCAGTTTCTAATATGGTGGATGGAAACGGGCGAGCAGCGGAACAGTCGCGAGATGACCTGCCGTTCATTGGAAGAAGTTTTCCTCCATCAGGCTTTCAAATGCCAGTTAGTACATTGCTGATACACGTATAAGCTTTGTCTATTCTGAGAGATAGGCGCATTTATGCAGATTTTCTAGCCATTCTTGTAGTTTCTAGCACCTCTTTCCTCAGCCTTCTCAGTCAGAACCCGCATCCTTCGCCCATATTTACCCAAACAGCAGTTACTAAAACTCGGCCGAGCTTGTCCGTGCAAAATTTATTCATTTTGGAATTGATCGGACTATTTGTCAGTATGATTTTCGCAGCTCTCCCACCAACTCCAAATCACTTGCGCGCACACGAGACCTAGACTTGCGAAGTTTTATTTTTTGCCGAAATCGCTTCTTTTTTTAATTCGTGATAAAATGTTGTCACTTTGCTGCAGCAGCAACAGCAACAGCAGCATCACCATATCAGTGGCGAGATGGTGGACATGTGGCCAAACGCATCGCCTGGACATGTGGCACCGGACGGCTTTCATATGCCATTCAGTAAACTTTTTTGCTTAGATTTTTTTGCAGCGATGAATTCATTGAAGAGTTGTTCTCTCCGAAGTTCTGTAGCTTTCCAGCGTGTGCTAGCTGACGTCGTTTTGAGTTTCTGCTCTGCGAAAGTACAGCATTGACCTGGGGAGAAAACAAACTGTTTGAAGCGGGGAGCATCTCGTTCCTACTTGACAGCCATCATCGCACCCTTGTTGGGGAAACTTCATCGGACCACAGAACATCAGTGAGAAATCAGCAAATGTGTAGAATCCATTCCTAGCCACTTTTCTCTCACAGTAGTGAAAGATGCTTGTTTCATCGATGCTTCAGTCAAACTTTTCACGAAGTCAGCTTGAAGTGGTGGCTTCTGTTCCCCTTGCGAGGCGTACTTTTCGGAACTATTGAGTTTTTTGCTTCCAGATGGGAATGTGTATGGCTATGCGCATACAGCATATCCGAATATGTTGAATTTGCCTCAGTTGCCGCCGATTTATCTGCGATGTCCGGAATGTGGTCTTGTCAAAATGAACAGCGAAGAAATGGAGGTGTAAAGTCACATAACATTCTGCTCATTACGTTCAAGGCTGCCCCAAAATTGTTAAGCCACAACTACTTCTCCATATAAACTTAGACATGAGAAACTGGCTTGTTGTCAGGTTTTCCGCTTGTGTGGAGTGCTGGAGCATCAGATTTCCCTCGATCTTAATTACGCAAGCAAGCGCCTTATTAAATTTCTGTTTTGTCCCACTATGATAGTGTCTTTGTGCACTAATTGAATTTTTAAGGAGGTATTTTCCTAGAATGCTCCAGATTGACCTCATTACCAAGGTTAGAACAAAAATTCTTTATTAGATCGCAGCCTACCTCCGTCTTGGTATTTTCACTTAGGCTTCTCCTGAAAACACCTAAGTCTTGCATCCACCTTTAATAGATTACCTCGAATTTCCCAGTTTTTACAATTTGCTTTAACATATTTCTTCTTTGGTGCTTGTAGGATCCGTTAAGTGTCCCCTATTTCACGAGAGCAGCAGGGTTCAGGTATGTTGTGAGCGATCCGACAGAGGATTTCGTTGTCCTAATACTAATACTTTAGTTGTGAAGCTACTGTCTTTGGAACAGTTGCTCGCTCTTTATCCCTTTATTCATTTGGGCTGCTGGTGAGACAGGAACCGTGTAGATAGGATATTTGCCTTGCTGAGGTGTTGTCGGATTCTTCATAGCATGTTACGAGAAGAAGCGCTGTCAGCGAAGTGCTCGCTGATGGATTTAGATGGAGTGGATTTCGCAGCACTTCCTGCCTTTTTGCTACATCATTAAGGTCGGGCTTATTTGCGTTTCAGATTCATCTCAAAGTAGAGCATTTGCAATGGTTACCGTATCAGTGTACAATGTGCAGTGCCGAAAGGGCGGCCGATTTCCAGCTTCGCGAGCACATCATCTCTGTGCATCGAAAGAACACAGACAAGGTCTGTTGACAGTTTACATGCGATGCTGATTGGTTGTGATTTCTTCGTCTCCCCTGCTGCTTCCCTGAACTTCAGCATGCAACGCGTCAGGCTGAATAATTTCTGCAATGAAGTACCATTGCAGTTCATCTATGTGGATAATCCGGGTGCCAAGCGAATGTATCGAATACTAATGGATCGATGCTTGATGAATGCACGCCGCTTAGTGGGCAGTTCGCATCCTGCACAGCAGTTCCAGAACCCCTCACCGATCGACCAGATGAGGGAAACACTCGTGAATCATCATGCAAATGATTTGGTTAGTTAACATTTGTTGACGGCTGCAAAAATTGATTTTTGATTTGCTGTAAACCCTAAGGGTTACGGTAAACTCTAAGAATCTTCTACCCCCTACGTATCCATCGGTTTTTTTTTTTGGAGCCACGTTAAAGCGGGTATTTTTTAACACGCTGTTACATACAATTTTCAGGATGGACGAAAAAAGACAGTTGATTTAACTGCAACTGAATCACTTGGTGAAAACTCTATCCAGAATATCACCGCTCTGGCGAACGGGAGTGGAGCTCGTGAGTCACCACAGGAGGAGCCCAAATCGGCGAATGCAACAGCAGGCGCTGCTGCAACGGCTACAGTTCTTTCAAGAAAAAGACATTCTAGGTAGTGCTTCCTTTGTTTGAGTTTCAGGGTAGAGAGTTTCCTTAACAGTGCTCATTAAATAGTGATGTTTTACTGTATCTAGGCTTCCGAGACGACCACAAGGCGTATTTCAGTTGAGATACTGCAGATTAAAATGATGCCGTTTACAGCTTTTTCAGCTTCGTACGTTGTCCTGGCGAAGTCTTACTGAATTTTGCTATGACTTTGTCAGCGGTTAATTGCTCTTCTAAGAAAGCGACAGCTGAGAAATGTTCTGTGAGTAATTGTAGTGAGAATAGTTCGGTTCCATGGAATACGAATACTGGTGCGGTGTTATCAGCGATTCGTGTTGCAACTCAAGAAAATGAAGAAGTGGAGAGGGAAGAAGTGGAAGATGAAAGTGAAGGATCTGAGGATAGCGAAGTTTATGACGAGGAATTCAATGCTGGGGCTAGATCTGCGACGGAATCATCCTCATTCGACCCAGCGCCACGCAGTGAGTTTTTTCACAGTTTTATCTGCTGTTAGTTTGAGTCAACTTCTTGGAGCATTAGAAAAACGCCTCTAATTTTTATGCGTTTTTTGCAGCTATGCAATGCAGAAAACGCATATTGATGAGAGGTTGTCTGTGTG